ACACCGAGTCTGGCAGAGACTCAAGTCTTGGGGTCCTGTGGAGCTGCCATGGCCCTAGAAGATCCTGCCCTCACACAAATGAATTGAGACAATCACCTGGCCTCAGAGCCAGGAATCAGACCTGCTTTCACTTAGCAATACAGATGTGTCCTCACAGCTTCAGAAGCTTGAATGGGGTGAGATGAAGCCCACCTCATGCTTGTAAATGTCATTGACAATCCCCTCTCTTCCCAGCCCCAGATATTTGTCAGCCAGGCTAAATACACCCAGAAGAACCTGCATTCTGAGACTGATTTGGTACTCACATTTCCTCCCGTAATATTAGCTTACCTACACTCAAACTGAGCTTGTCAGGATCAGTCCCAGTGTTGATGAAGTCCAAGTCTGGCTGCTAGTTGATAAAACAGGTAAGTGGTGACTGATAGCTTCAACTCTGACATTATTTCTCCCCTGAAAGAGTGGATAACCTCTAATATATGGTGCTCCTGCACACAGAGCTTTTAACCATCTGGTAGGGTATAATAAACTTAAACTTTTCTCAGTTTCCTTAAACTTCTGATGAAAAAAAAAAAAACAACAAAAAAAAACACTTCAGAATTTATAGAATTTATAGCTGCAATGTCAGAGGAAATTTGTTGTTCCCATAAGATCAGCACTGAGAATGTGTTTGTTTTGCTTGTTAATTATGTGGGAGAAACCCATCTCCTCTCATCCACCCATCATTTCCAGAGCCTTGTATCAATATACATCAGTAGCAGCTACACCAGATTTGTTCTCACTTAAAATGAGAGCAAGAAAATTCAGCTCTGTTTCTTACATACTCCTAAATATAGCCCTAGAATGAAAAAAATATTGAAAAAAAACAACAACAAACACCTGCTAAAGGCATACACTGGGACTAGACTTCAGGGACATTGCTCAGCTATGAGGACTTGGGCAAAGGCTATATATCTTTCTATATATATTTACACAGACTGAGCATAAAGGAATCCGCACTGCAAGCCCTGGATAACTTATCAGATTTAAAAAAGGTAATCATGATATTAATTTATACCCTCTGTCTATAATGCTAGGTAATGTATTTTGGCAAACATCATTTATAGCTAGAATTATTCTCCCTTGGGTAGCTGTAAATGGCTCCTCTTCATTCAAATATGTCTTGCCTGCATGCACAGAAAAGCACAGGCTATCTTCCAGCTTTAATCAATATTACGATCAACACTGAATCAAATTAAAATGTATTTGCTTGGCATTTCGGATGATGAAGTAATGCTCATCCCCAGCTCCAGCAAGACACCAGGGAGTTGTAGAAGGTAGCTGGGACCACTGGGCCTCGTGCTGTGCACCAGCAGCTCCCCACTGGAGGTGCTGGGAGCAATTCATCGTGCACTCGGGCATGGTGGATGACGCACGTTTTGGGTGGCAGAGGAACAGGTGATGTGGGTGAAAGCCTTGCTAGCATAGATGTGCAGAAACACCTGAGTACAAGACAGAAAACCCAGTACGAGCGACATGGACACACTGGAAAGAGTCCAGCGCAGGGCCACAAAGGTGATGAAGAGACTGGGATCTCTCTGATGAAAAAAGGTGCTTTTTACTCTGGAGAAGACAAGGCTAAGGGGATATCTCATCAATGTATGTAAATACTTGAAGGGAGGATGCGATGAAGTCAGAGCCAGCCTCATTTCAGTGGTGCCCATTGCTGGGACAAGAGGTGGTGGGCACAGCCTGGGACACAGGAGGTGCTGTCTGACCACCAGGAGCACTTCTGTGCTGTGTGGGTGACTGAGCACTGGCACAGGCTGCCCACAGAGGCTGTGGGGTCTCCTCCTTGGGGATCTTCAGAAGCCGCCTAGACGTGGTTCTGGGCAGCCTGCTCTGGGTGTCCCTGCTTGGGCAGGGGTTGGAGCAGCTGGCTCCAGAGGGCCCTGCCAGCCTCAGCTCTCTGTGATTCTGTGATTCTGTAACTCCATCTAAGCTGCAGTGCTACAAATTTCTCCTTGGGGACAGACACTGGAAGGTGGTGGAAATTTATTGCAGTTCATTTGCAGCCTCTGCTGGGGGAGGTCTGATGCTGATCGAGCCCGTGGCTCCCCTGGCTGTCCTCTGCTCTGCAGCTCCTTTTGGTTGAGCTGCTGCATCTGCTTCCACAGCGGCTGCTGCTCCAGCCAGCTCTTTGGAGAGGTTGCTTGACACCAATTTAAATATTTATTGGACATTTGGTCTAATGCCCACTGCTTGGGAAGCATCTTATATTATGTGTATAAAAGCAACGGGCAAGGTTTTACAAGAAGCTGGCCTACAAATGAACATCTCTGAGTGCTCATTGCCGAGACCACGCATCCTCAGGCATGCTTCAGACCTTTCCCTCAGAGTGACATTTCTGCTGTGGTTTTTTTTTAGTTTTATTGGGCTATATTCTTCAGAACCTGCAGGAATCAGAGCAGCTTTGCTAGAGAAGCCTTGAAAAGCAGAGAGCAAATGAGAATTTATTCTCAATAGTTCCTTGAAAGGTTTATATCTGGACTGAACACTTGCGACACAAGAACAAATATTCACTACCTACACTAATTGGAGGAGCCCCGTTACAAGCTGACAAAGTTTGCATAGAAATTGATCCTTCACAATGCTGCATGAACACTCACATAAATTGTGTGCTCTGCGAAATGAGGGGAGTGTGCACATTTGTTACCACTAGTCACGTGCACGGCGCTCTGCGATATTATCCAGAGAAGTTGGAGTGATCCTTTGTGTCAGAGCTTCCAGCTAAAGATGCAGATCACGCACCGTGGGCTTTATTTATGGTTTTCCTCCCTGCTGCCTTGTGAATAGCGGGACTGGATGGACAAAATGTTAAAAAGGAGTATCAGAAACCTCTGGAAGGCTTGGCAGAGCAGCCAGTGCCTTTTATTTGGGAATCCTCTTATGCCTAGGTTTCAGCATTTAAAGGTTATTTTTTCAAAAAGTGTCTGAAGTCCAATTTTCAGGTCAAAATGGCTTAAGCAAGTTATTATACAGCTATACTAGTAGCATACACTAAACAAGTACCAAACAGTATGCAGCAAAAGGGGGAGGAGAAGCATTTCAGTGTGGTACAGTGATGGACGGTCTGGCACCTGACATTTCTATCCCAACTGCCTGTCCCACGCTCTGCAGCTCACCTTCAACAGCGACCTTAGAAACGAAAAAATGTGACCCTGAGAATTTAAATGAAACAGCCAGAGCTTGTTTTTCTACTGTTTTGTATGCCTTGTGATGATTTATGGCTCTAGAAGGAGGGCAGAATTGCTCTGAAATGTGACCTGCCTGGAGAAGATGCAGTTTTCACCAATTTTGTTTACCCAATGCAGGACGTAAATCACTACACAATCTGCAAGGCAAACTCTCCAAGCAGACAATCCTCTTTCTCCTTCTGTTTTAGACCCACTTCACAGCCAGTTTCCACCAAGAAGTTCAGAGGGTGGCTGTCATGGGGAGGTGAACCACACTGGTGTGCCCCGTGCCATCCCCAGCTCCTGATGGGCATGCAGCGCTTGGGACCCAATTCAACTGTTTGTGCCCCTCAGCAGTGATGAGTTTTTTTTTTTTTTTTTTTTTTTCTGAAGATGTCTTTATCTCTAAACTTTGCCTACATAGATTTTTCTATAATTACAGATTTGTAATTACATGCCTAATGATGACACCGTTTGCCTGGTGTATTTTTACATAATAGCATTTAAGCTTTACATATTTACTAATCAAAAAGAGATCCTTCCTGCAAATGAAAAATTACAAATATGTATTCTTCCCTTAATTATGCCATAAATAATCTGGATCATTTTCCAAGAAAGCACATTAGAGCTCTGGTAAGGCACTTAGCCTGGTTTGACTGCAATGGTCTGCATCTTGTGATTACCATGTCAGTGTAAGACACCCAAAACGTTAAGTTTTCATTACTATTCTCTCTGAAGTAACTGCAGTGCACTTAAAATAGATGTACAATTCATGGAAATGAATCATTAAAGGGGATTGAGTTGAATTGTGCCTGGCAGATGTTGTCACAAACATTGCTGAAATACTTAAACACTTCTTGCAGCAAGCGGTGATAGGACACTTGGCAGCATAATTATCCCATTGCCACTGAAGTCATGCTTTTCATGCTAATGCATGAAGGGCCTCATAAGCAACCTTGTGGAGCTCTACAGCACAGTTAGGATGGTGATGATGCTCCTTCATCATCTATTTGATAGCTCTTGGGCAAGGCTACAGTGTCCTTTTGTTGTCCCACACCTTGGCCCTAGAAATGTGGCCCTTCCCTTGCTCAGGCAGTTGAGCTGGTGCATGGGGCTCATCTGTGTCTCAGATCTAGCAGGTTTTTGGTGGGGTTCATCTCTAGCCATGCAAATGTCAGTGCAAAGGAGAAGGATGAAGGACATGGCTGATCCCTGGAGGTCTTTAAAAGATGCTTAGATGTAGAGCTTAGTGATATGGTTTAGTGGAGGACTTGTCAGTGTTAGGTCAGAGGTTGGACTCGGTAATCTTGGAGGTCTCTTCCAACCTAGATGGTTCCGTGATTCCGTGATTCTGTGGAGCAAGGAGTGGGAGCCTGGACAACAGCAATAAATCACTGTGTTGGTTTAGGCTGGCCAACTCCCTCTCAACCCCCAGAGTGTCTTGGGAACTCTTGTATTGCTACCATCTGCAATGACTGATTTGCAACATCTCCTTGGGTGCAGAATTTTTTTGTAAGGGGACCAAACTGCAGGCAGGTCTCCAAGGTCTCTGAGAAGATTAAACCTAATCCTGTGGGAATTTAGTTTGGTGTTTAAATACAGTAAGTCCACACCAGACTGTTCTCCTTCACATGGTAGATGCTCAGTCATCTTCCCGTGATTCAATGAGAGCAGCCTGATGGATAGTTCCATTCACATGATGCAGAAAATCTTTTTTCACTTTTCCATTAATGTTTCCCCAGATAAGACTAGTTGATGTAGGAGTGAATCTTTTCTGGCAGGAAAACGTCATGTAGTGAGGCTCATTTTAACTGTTAGAGGAAAAGGGCATTGCCTTTTCTTCAGGAACTGAACAAAGCATGCAGTCTCCCAGTTTATCTAGGATGTGAATAAGATCCATGCTAGCTGTTGATGCCTTCAAAACACACAAGATCTAAACAAGATTTCGATGGAGAGATATGGAGTAAGAATACTTGTCAGAGTATTTTATCAGTTATTTCACCTTAAGTAATGATCTTAATTTTCTTTCTGTATTGTTGAAATTATACAAAAGAAGCACCTGCCTGAAGGAGGTGTGTTGATCAAGTCTTGAGGCTCCAGCCTCCTGTGTGGAGGTTTCCTCACCTGCAGCCTGGTCTGCCTGATGGCTGCTTGCACGGTCAGCTATCAGTACCTGGTGATCACTGGCTGAAGCTCATCAGTTATCCACAGAAATGGTAAGTTGTTGGCTTACCAGAAACATTTTTCCTTACTGTCATGCATGATGATCTTTTGTGGTCTAAGCTCCTATCTGCTGTGTTCATGCAACTTCAAAGATGTGGCCATTCTTGTTACAAGATCATTCATTCCTACTGCCTCTGGGTTGGCAAGTTTTATGATGATGAGGAACTGCTCCTCGTTCAACATTTTCCATTGCAGAATATTCAGAATCTGGATGACCTATTTTACAGCATTTTGCACTATTAATTTTGTTCTTTTTATTGCTGGTGCCCAAATGGTAACAGCTGGAGCAGTAAGGAAAATCTGGAGCCACTGCCTCTCTCCAGCACCTCGTCTCTAAGCAGTGCTATCAGCACTTCACAAATCCTCTTCCTTCTGATGGGAAGTATGTTCTGCTCCCTGAGTTATGGGTCCCTACAGCCTGTTTTGTCAGCTCCCTAATGCTTTCTTCCTTCTCAGAGATATTGCTACCATGCTCTTTTTACACAATACCACCCAAAAGCAATTCTTTTTCTGCAAGAGCACGTTGTGATGTTTCTATACTCTTTGAACCTGTGTCTCATCACTCACCAACACCCAGCAGCACAGCACCACTGTGAATATATAGAGCTTTTCTGAAAACTTTCTGCTTGTGGGCACATATTTCCCTGTTCCTCCAACGTGGTCACTGGGTCTGGAATGGCACTGGAAGGAGGTTTGGGGTTACTTTCCCAGCCTGCTTTTATGCCAGTTATCTGTCAGTACCAGTCTGTGCAATGGTCCCTGTTCAGCGATGAGCACATGGGAATGAGCCAAGGCTGCTGGGGGTCCTGCAGCATGGCAAACCCATTGCTTGCAGTGGGGCACTGGGCTCTGAACATGTGCGCATGGCCCATGGCTGAGGCTGGGGCTGGAATTTGTCCTGGGTAAACCCAAATCGTCTGGGTCAACCCACATCTGAAGGATCAGTCAAGATTTGTCACCCATAAAGCAGTGTGTGGTTTCTCCCTCCTCTTAGATGTGGCACGTCTTGTCCAAAACCCCTTCTGATGGTGAGAGGAGAAACTGGCAACCTGAGAACATTTTGGTAAGAATTAGAAAACAGAGACTGTGAATGGCTTTTTCATCCCCCTGCCAAGCCTAGGGAACAACCTGGGATGTGGCACACATTCTCCTCACCTAAAAATGCAAGTGCTATGTGTGTCATGAATGCTAATATGGTTTTGCCTTTAACAGAGAGCCTGTCCCTCCTGTAAAGCTGACAGTAGTGATGTCTGCCGAAGGATTCACTGGTGTCTTGAGCACGTCTATTTATATACATTAAAACCCGCCATCTATTTATATTAATAAAAGAATCCTATTTATATTAAAAGATTAAAAAGTTTCTCTCATTATCGAGTTCTGTAACTGAGTTCCCCAGAGAAAAAATGAATCAGAAAGCACTTGTGTTTTCCTGAGCATAACAAATAGTGAAGCTTTCAGGAGACAGCATTTTTTTTTTTTTCCCAGGAAGGGAGCCCTTTTTAAAAATAATTTTAGGCAAGAAAAAGTGTGAAAGTGTTTGAGATTTCAAAGTCATTCCTGAAGGAATAACTAGCTCTTAAGAGGGCTGGAACGTAATGCAACACCCTGGGGAATATCCTGGTTGATAAAACCCAGTGATGGATGCTGTTACCAGCTTAACAAAGAGCTCTACAACATTGTTCCTACGCCCTCCCCTACATATTCTCTGCTCTGTTTCTTGGTTTATCGGCACTTACAGTAAAAGCACATCAAGGTTTGCTTTACCGGAGTCCTCCCTAATTACTGCAAATTAATAATACTGCAATTTCCCTTCCTCATGGGGATGAATTGAGGGCCCTCTACAATTTGATAAGAAAACCGACACCCTCATTCTAAAATTGCCCATGAATTTGCTTCTTATGGTATTTATGCAGCACATGAAAGCCCCAGCTCCAAATCTCTCCTGTCTCTTACCAAGTTCCTGCTGGAGAAGCAACTTCTCCCTCACACAAGGCACAGCAGGCATAGGGCTCAGCCACGAGCACCAAGCAGGGCAGACCCCACAGCAGGAGCGTGGAGGGCCCCTGCCAGCCAGGGCCCCACCACCCGATGCTGCAGAGACCGCCAGGTCTGTAAACAGTTCAGAGCAGGAGCTGTGATTTCATGGCTTGTATTAAGCCTAGAATATAATTAATGCTTAACAAATAGCACTAATGATAACAATCGTACTCCTGCACTAATGAAGACTTTATGCTTCTGTCTGCATTGAGCTGCACCGCAGACCCTACCCTGGCTTTAAACCACGAATCCCAGTCATTACGACACACAGAGAGGAATTATGTCCTCCTACATAGTCTATGCTGCAAGCTGAGTGACTGCCTGATGTGCCTCAGCAACGGCATTGTGCAATGCACAAATGCATTTAATCATCCTTCCCCACGCTGCTCCCATAGTTTCTTGTTCGGCCTACTTAAAATAACTTCCCCAAATTATGAATCTTTGCATAAGAAATGATGTATGTTTCGGAACACAATGAGGCACATTCTGTACAGAAGCTATGCTCAGCCGTTGGAAGGCAGGGGTGGGCTGCGGGCCCCGAGCAGCAGTGCAATGGGCAATTCAGAGGAGAACTCGCATTGTCTTTAAACACTGCAATTAAACTCAAACATTGTCCTTGTAAATAATAAAAAAAAAATGTGCCGCACGGCCTCTGTGGTGGGAAGCTTTTGATGAAATATTTAGGAGAGCGCTTTCTGAATGTGGCTAATTTTCGGAGAACATATTAAAGTTTTATGGGGGCACTAATTTAATCACGGATGATGAATGATTTTAGTTTTACGTTGGGCTTTAACGAGGCTGGCTAAGCGCACGGCGGAAGGGAGCGTTGTGTGCGCGAGGCAGTTGCGTGCCGGGGGCTGGCTGAGTCACGGCTTTCCGAGAGCCTCATCCCTCCAGCTGAGCACGTTTCTGTCGCTGCTAACAGGGCTTTAAACCCTCCTGCCTGCCTTGTGGCTGAAGCCAAACGGGAGGAGAACTGTCAGCTGTGAGAGGCCTTCAAAACCAGCAAAGCATACTTTGGTTAAATCCTCATTAGCCACCTCTGCGCTGCCCCCTGGCCTGCAGCACGTCAGCCAGCCAGGGAAATTATCTCAGCCTGAATATCTCCAGTTGCACACAAATCACGTTGAGGGAAAAACAACAAAGCAGGGAGTGTGCTTTTGCAAGGTGCCGGCTGTCTTGTGTCTGAAGACAACAGCCAATTTGTCTTAATGCCCACTGAGCAGTCCTGGCCATGGCAGGAGCCACAATGGGGGGAAGGGCTAGAACCAGATCATGTACATTTGTCAGTACAAAACTGAGGGCTGCATTTGCTCCTGTGGGCTCTCTAACCATCTACTCCATTAAATAATTGCTAACAGAGTCCAAAAATGTTGTCGCTGTTTCATGTCCTAGTATGATATTTGTCAATCTACAGCAGGGCAGTTGAAGTCTCCCATTACTACTGTATTTCCTTCCCACACTGCCACTGTGATCTCCTTCAGCTTATCAAATACAAGGCATTTTCTTGTCCTGTCCTGTGTCAGTAACATTATCTACCATACAACTTAGCGATATGGTTTAGTGGAGGACTTGTTAGTGTTAGGTCAGAGGTTGGACTCGATGATCTTGAGGTCTCTTCCAACCTAGACAATTCCGTGATTCCGTGATTCCGTGAATTTTCAGGAATGGTGGGAGCTGCAGGGGTGCCTACATGGAGAAGTTTGTCGTGTTTCTCAACCCAACAAGCAATGCAGCTGTGTGAAATGAATGGCTGGACCTTGACATATACAAGGATTCTGTGAGTTTGAGTTGGAAGAGACATTAAAGAGACATTAAAGACCTTCTAGTTCCACCCCCCTGCCATGGGCAGGGACACCTCCCACCAGCCCAGGCTGCCCAAAGCCCCATCCAGCCTGGCCTTGAGCACCTCCAGGGATAGGGCATCCACAGCTTCTCTGGGCAGCCTGTGCCAGGGCCTCACCACCCTCTGAGTGAAGAATTTCTTCCACGTGTCTAATCTAAATCTCCCCTCTTTTAGTTTAAAGCCATTCCTCCTTGTCCTATCACCACACGCCCTGACAAAGAGTCCCTTCCCCAGCTTTCCTGCAGGCCCCCATTAGACACTGGCAGGCTGCTGTAAGGTCTCCCTGCAGCCTTCTCTTCTCCAGGCTGAACAACCCCAGCTCTCTCAATCTTTCTTCACAGGAGAGGAGCTCCAGCCCTCTGATCATCCTCATGGCCCCCCTCTGGACCCACACTACCATCCCCAGAGCTGGAAGCAGTACTGCAGGTGGGGCCTCGCTGCTGCACCAGTGCTGAGCTGGTTGCGGCGTGTGGCAGCTGGGCTGGTGCGTGTTGACTGAAGAGACACCACTCAATGTCAGTGTGAAGTAACTCATTATCAATCCATTCATTCAAATCCACATTTAGGATCTACAGAAATAATTGCCATCATATTAAGATGTATGTTTAAAGCTTGGCAATTAATTCATATGCATAGATTAATACACAACACAAACTCAGTCATTGATATTGGGAAAGTTTTTAATGTAATAAAACTAAAAGCACAATGACAGGGACATATTACCTCGCCAGATGGCACAGTTTGTTAAAACAAACCAACACATTTCTAAAACAGTGTCCTAATCTCCACTTGAAACAAATTTTAATTTAAAATGGAAGGATATTTGCATAAAAAGGGTTCAGAGAACAAATATTTCAGAAGTTCACTCTTAGACAAGGGCAGTTCTGGTCTGAGGCAATAGATGGTGGGAAAACATAAGCCAATTAAAATAATCTTTAACACTGGAATTTCAAGCATAAAACTGTCAGTGTGAGTGAATCAGACCATTATGGAAAGTTTTCATCTGGCAGATGCCAGCCAGTATCACCTGTGTTCAGGAGCTGTCTGCAGGACTCAGGTCCAGAACTGTGCAAATAGTGAGTTAACCCCATCAGAAACAATGTTTGTTTTTGGAGGACTGAATCTCTTAAGGGTTTTTTGAAACCTTGGGTCATCGCTGGAGTGGGAATGTCATTCTCTAATGAAATTCAGAATATATTGGAGCAAACAAAAAGAAAAAAAACAGTTATTTTTAAGGGTTTAGTCTGGCTATGCCAAGTTCCATATGAAAAAAAAAAAAAAAAAAAAAAGAGTTAGGATGTTTTGATGAATTTACTATTTGACATAAAAAGGATTCTCTTGCTGTGGAAACAGGTGACAAATTTGAGGGTGTATTGAATCCATTCCCTGCTTCTGTTCAGCTCCAACTCTTTGACAGGCAATATGTGTGCATGGCTCACAACGTGACTTTGCTGGACCTGTCCTCCCCCTCTTCTCATACAAAAGGTAAGTAACTTTCTCTTGTCCCCTTTTTTTTTTTAATTCTTTCTGCTGTTTCCCCTGTCTTGTCTCCCTCTCATGCTCCATCCTTGTGCTGCCCAGGTCCTTCTGGTAAGTGTGGTCTTTTGGCTGTTTCTGTGATGACCAGTTCAGAGCAGCTCTGATTTTCACTTGAAAGCTTTAGGCACCTTCATATTATGGAAAAGAAAGAAGAGTAAGTGCTTTCTACATTGCTGCTGAGAGGCAAACCGCATGAGACACATAGTCAAAACACATTCTATTACAGAGGCCTTTTTCCCTGCATATGAATTGCAATATTTTTGTGCTGTCCACCAAGCCTCTGTGTGAAACTATGCACAGCAAGGTAATTCAGAGAGATGAAGTCAGGCTCCCTGTCTATGCTCTGCTTATGACACAGCTCCAAAGGGAAAACTGCAGTGACCTGAAAGTCTCAGAAGGGCCAGCCATATGTCCAGCAATATGAAGTGCAATGGGAGAAGATGAGGAGTAAAACCTCACCCTCATCAACTGCAGACCTCAATGGGAGGGAGGAGACATGAGCTTCACTCTTGGTTCCTCAGTTAGTAGCTGGCTTGTTTTTAATGTGAAATAGAAAATGCATAAACAGTCTTGAAGGCAGGGACCAGAAACAACCAGAACTTCAGAGCTAAATGGTGTTTTGCAGCCGAGCAAGATGTTGCCAGATGTTTCCAAATAATACAGGTGGCGTCCTACTGCATCTCACATCTAGGACCTTATCTTCTCCCAGAACCTCACCTTGGCTGTACAGTACAGACACCCACCTTTATTTTCATTTTTGTATATCTCCTACCTATTTTTGTAGGATTATTATTATTGTAATAAATGGCTCAGTCTTCAAAATAGGACTATAATCAAAGTTTACAATTTATTAAAGGAATAGAGGTAAGCAAACAGCGCTTACCTCTACAGGTAAGCAGGTGTGCCAGGAGTCTCTGCTCCACCAAGACGCACACCAGTTACATCAAGCAGCTGATTTTAATGCTCCTAGGCTGATACATATTCTTTACTACTTCTAAAAAAAACCAGGATTATTATAATTAGTTTCCAGAATCCAAACCCTCCTACTGGAGCATGCGTATCAGTCTCTGGTTGTCCCTCTGGGGTCTCTGGGGGTCTCTCGTGCTGAAGGCTCACAGTCTTCCTCCCTCTTGTCCTTCTCCTTTGTCCAACTTGGCTGTATGTCAGAGACTTGTGCAACGTCCCCTGCAAGCTTTGTCTTTCAGTTGTTCTTCAGCTCTCCCCGTCTCCTTAATCTCCTGGCCAGATAGCAGAGACTTGCATAGTGTCCCGTGCAATAGTCATAATTGTTAGCAGTTATTCTGAAACCCCCCAGATATCAGAGACTTCAAGGAAAAGCCTACAAACACATTTCCCTTCAAGCTCTCTATTGACATGAATTGCTAAAACATTCCTTTGCAAGATACAAGAATTATATACATTAACCACTCTGTTTTTCTTAGACTTGTGGTTATACAAGGGTATGTAAGACAGAAGGTCACATTCATCATACCATGCGGCCCTAGCATTGTTCCATACTGACATGAATCAGATGAACATATCTCACATTATTATTATATTTAATAAAACATGCAGGACCAACACATCCATGTGGCAAAGAATACTTTGCTTCCTTGAGAAATGTCCATTTGGACTGGACACCAGACAATTATTTCAAATATCTGAAGCTCTGGAGCCTCCTAAAATCATCTGTTTTGAAAGATAGTGATAGAAAAATGAAAGCCTAAATCAAAACAAGTAACAAATGGTGGGTACAAAGGTGACTAATCAGTTGTCATCTCAAGCCCCCTCTTAGTCTGCTTGCATAAGCAGTACAAGCTGTACCTGTTTAAATCAGATACAGGCAAGTATTCACAGTCCTCTGTATCCAATAAATTAACATTCATATTTTCTCAAGAGCTTTTAAGAAGATCAAAAGAAAAACCAAACACATTTTAAGTGTTCTTCAAAATCTGGTAAAAGTTTTAAAGATTCTTTTTTTTCCTCTCTCTGCTTTCACTACAAACAAACAAACAAAAAAAAGTCAAAAAATCAGAAAATAAATGGTCAAGTGTGAGATAAGGTATTCAGAGGCTCAGAACAATTTAAGAGAGCTGCTTTTCTCTGCTGATGATTGTGTTATGTACAATTCTAAAGACAATACTTTTTACCAACACAGTATTAGGCTAGAAAGCTGTCTGCTATCCCTTTTAGCTGGATGCCAGGTAAATAAATACTGGCTTAAGCAAATTAAGTAAATAGTGTTTGTGGGCAGGTGTTTTTGTTCAGCATGTGGTATACAAATGCTTATTAATGCTGTTAACTTTGAAAAATGTCTGGGTAAAGGAAGAGATTATAGCAAAGGTACAGATTAAAACAGAAACATTTGTCAAAAACAAATGTTCATAAAAGAAAACAGTAAACAACCAGATGAGTTCACTGCAGCCAAATGCTCCCATTTAATAAATGAAATGCTTCATTAATCCTTCCTGACAGAAGTCATGCTTGGAATGGAGAACAGATTCAAGAGAAAACATTTGGCTAAGTTCTGCAGGTCTTCTGCAACCAGCCCAGGCTGGGGAAAGGAGACATAGCTGCTTTACACCAGGGCTAAGCAAGGTGGGACATCACTCTCCGGCCCCACTCATGCAACCTCCACCTGCTGTAAGAACACCTCTGGCTGATAAGAGGGCTACCTTGGCTGATGGTCCTCTTAGCGATACTCCTGGTCTGTGGTTTGGTAGCCAAAAATGCAGTGTGAGAAAGATGTCCCAGGGTTGTGTCCTGCGCTGACAGAGACACCCAGTTACCTCTGCAGCACTTCTGCTTTGAGGGCATCCCTGAAACAGTGCACATGGTGTGGCAAATCCCATTATTTCAAGTAGCCACGCAGGACTGGGTGCATTTCTGAATGAGCTCTGTGACGAGCTCCATGCCTCAGCTTTACTTTCAGCAATGTGTTTCTGTTTCTTAGGGTTGTGGAGAAAGGCTTGAAGGTCTTGAGTCACTTAAGTGGGTTGCTTAAGTCTTGAGAGATGGCTCTCCAATGCAATCTGATCCTTCTTCTCTGAGATCCAAGTGGGATGGAGGTGGCAGTAGCAGTAGGCATAGGGCAGTGTTTTGAAAGAAATCAATTTACACACGGTGCCTTCTTCTGAAGATTCATACTCATGGCATGAGTCTCAGCTGTACCACTTCTCTCACGTTCAGTGTCAATGTCCAGCTCTGTAGCAATGCCTAGGAATAGCATGCTCCTCTTTCAAGGGCTGAAAGAGGGCTGCCACAGACCTCAGTGGGGAAATCCACAAAGCCTTCTTTCCAAAGAACTGGTGCTCTGGAGCCAAGGACCTATCTTCATAGACATCCAAACAGGGATGAGGCCCTGTTGCAGGTTCTCCTGCTGATGGGACCCGTCTCTCTCTCTTCTGCCTCGCCTTCACCATAACACCTTGTCTTCAAGACTACCGTCCCCCTGTCAAGTTAGATTGAAAGTGAGCAGATGGTCTGGTAGTGTCTGGGGTGGGGAAATGACATGCATATGCCCTGTTTTAAGAAAAACAAGCTTAAAATATACAGGCTCAAAGCCAAGATACTCCTTTGCTCACACTTCTTCCCTAGGGGAGAAGAGGAAAGTGCAAAGATGTGACAGGTGCCAGTCACTTTGCTTTGTGTATTTCTGGAAGGTGACTGAATACTGCAATGAGAATAACCAAAGTAGGAACCTGTGCAGAAGATACAGCTGGACTAAATATTTCTGTCCTCTGCCATCGTGGGAGATGGGGCAAGGGAGCACCATAGGAAGAGATCTGGGACTGAGAAAAAGGCAAATGCCTTCCCATTTTCTTGGTATAGAAAACATCGGGAGGGGGCAAGATCAGTGATGTGTCTCTGTGCTGAGAAAGGGAAAATTTAGTAGGAAAAATGGGTAAAAATCTAGGACCAAAGAGGTAGTGGGACATCTGCTGAACAGTGCATCAGAGTAAATTGCTCCAAGGGGACAGCCCAGCTGAGTAGCCCGGGAGTATCATAAAAATAAATAAATAAAAATAAAAATTAAAAAAGAGTCTTTGAAAGACAGCTATAATCCAGGTAGTGCATCCTGGGAAGGGAGATCCCAGTGCTTGGGAGGGATGCAGGGGCTGTGATCATCCTGGGGACAGGAGAACAACCACCATCCTGGTCTACCAAGGAGCCAGCTGAGCTCCCACCAGCACGAAGACGTGCTACGGTATCCTGACACAAACACAGAATTGTCAGTAAAGTGTTTTGCTGCTCAGCTGCAGGGACCTCTGATAGATTGGCTGACTTGTTACACATATCTGTACAGAGAAGCGAGGAACAATACAGATCCCACTGGAAATGCTGATGCCAGAAGTGGATCTTTCAGCAGGTGACAGCTCACGCCATGTGGCAGTCAGGGTGTTAGCCAGAGCCTGCGGTTTTTTGGTGTAGGGTGAAGTGAACCATGGTCAGTGCTGCACAAACAGAAGCTCCTCTGAGGCTGGGAGCTATATGGTTTTTAGTCTACGTCGTGCTGCAGCATGCAAAGAGAATTTGCTTTGCCCTCTGATGTTTATCTTAATTTTGCATGTGTTCACAGCTCATGGGAGAAAATGACAAATTGAGAAAATATTTGTTCCACAAAAGCCAAGAGACTATTACAGCAGACAGCCAGACAAACACAGCGCAAGTGCCAAAGCCTGAGCTTTTCTACAGTCTGTACCATGTACATGCTCAGTTTTACCTGCCTGAAGGGTAATGGGAAATTCAGTCAATATGTTGCCTTAATCACGGCAGTTCCTTTGCACTTGGACTACCCATTGCATCTCATTGCAGGGTTTTGGAACGCCACCCAAAAGGGAGGCTGAAATCATCAACCACATTTCATTTAGCACTGCCAACTGAATCTAAACAAATTGAAAAATGACCTGCCTGCTACACTGTGAGGCATACAGCAGAAAATGACTCTGAAATAGCCGCTTATGTTCACTGGAGAAAGATTTATTTGTGATCTCAGAGCTTGAGTTGCAGAGGTAAATAGAACCACCTGTAAACCATTTCCTACCATGCCCCACTGCCCCCATACAAAAAAACATGCACAGGCATTGCCTGGAGTGGAGTTGGCCTAGTAAATGATCAGGAAAATGGAATGTTTTCTTTCAACAAGCAGCAAATGAAGAGGAGCTGCTGGATCTGAAACGAGGCTACCTTGTTCACCTGGAAGGTCCCAGCTTTTGATGAAAGGCCCGCAGCTCTGGAATTTGCTTCCACTGTGGTACAACGTGAGTCACGTTGCCCTTCACTTCATACTGCAAGCATTTTTTTTAATTATTATGTTTTCTTTCTTTGTAGGGAGGCAAGCTGACCTACTGTGTAAATGATTTGAAAGGGCTCTGCACTGATGAACAGCCAGGAGGGAGAAGGACCCTGTGTATTACTGCAGTTAATTGTCTTTACACTTAGTGATTATTTTATTTAACTAATTTATTATTTTGATGTTATGCTATTATATGTTTCATGGAAATCCAGAAATCCACACCTTAAATATGTGTGCATCACCGAGTTATTGAGGTCCATGATTTTGTTGCCAGCAACCCTCAGTTTGGTTTCCATCCATGGACAGTGCCAATGCTCCCTGGTCTACAGCATCCAAGCTCTCCTAGATGAACACGAGGTGCAGTGTGCCTCACCTGTAGGCATTTCTTTGGTCCCTCTGTGACTTTAGCCTGTGACTTTAACCAAGAAAAGAGCACAGAAAACCTTATTACTGATAGCTTGTGGGCTCCTAGCCTACCAAGCAGCACGTGCAGGCTGCCAGGCCATAGCACCCGCTTCATTTTGGATCTACCACAACATGTGATGTGTCCTGCCAAGTGGGAATGTCATAGAGGACAAAGGGAAGAACGGAGGTTATTGAAGGAAGGAGGAGTTTAGGGGATGGAGGTTTTGTATTTGTAGGAAAATATGTGCCACTGATTTGGCTGCTTACATGTACAAGCCTGCTTTCTGGGATTTAAAAAATTTGCTGTCTTCCTTCTCTCAACCCCCCAGGCAACAGCTGGTCCTTGGAAGATGTGATTGCAAAGGGAAAGCATTTCTATACCAAAAAATGTAAAAGTGAAAAATAACTCCCAGAACTTCACCCTGAGCTGAAGGAAAATGTAAAAGTATGATTTCCTCTTCATTTCCTCTTCCCTGCTGGTTATTAGGAAAAGATCACAGGTATGTCAGCCTGTCTGGGACTCCATAAGCAGAACAAAAAGGTAAATCCCAGCAGGAGGGTTAGCAGCACCGAGCACCTGGGAGATGCTTGGTTATTGAGCTGGGGAGTGTTCTGCACATCCCATCTATCTGCCCCATCCTTTCACAGCGAGCTGCTTCCTGAAGGACCACCAGGGTGATGGATATGAAAACAAGGTGTTGATGTTGGTGTGTCCTGCTGCCATCACTTGTTCCCCATCACTCAATACTCCTCTGCTCCCCTCAAGGCCACTTGATTCCACCAGCAACATGTCAGGTATCTGATGCTACACATCTTCCTTCTGGCTCAACTACATGCCCTGCTGACCTCATACTGGTGTGACACACAAAGGAGTTACATAAAGACTCTGCAGATGCACTTTCATGGATCACAGGTTGCCTATAATTCATACTCTAATATTTGGTGTGAGTGGCCGCATTCAGCACTGGCTCCGGTCTCCTCTGGGAGGATATTTTCAGTGGTACTTACACCTCACTTTGAGTTATCTCTTCTGTTTTCCTAAATAAAAGCCTGTATATTTCTTGTTTGAATGCTTTATTTTTGTTATTACACGTAGAAAAAAAGCAAGAAGGACCCAAGATGGTCTCAGCATGTAGGAGCTGGGTACGTGCCTCTTCCATCACGTTGTGCGTCAGCCCTGCTTGCAAATGGCTACCAGTGAGTTGGGGGGAAATAAGGGGATCAAATCATTTGGTTCTGTTCACTACTGATTCCCCTGACAGCTTTAAAGACTGCTTTTTTAGTGGGGTATACAGTGAGATACATGGTGTACTGTGCAAATTGTTTCAAAAACAGTAAGGTATTTTCTGTGATAACTTTATGGGTAAGTAAACAAATCCCAGTCCAATGCGTGTTCATAAAGCTTTGGACTAGGCTGACCCTGTCCCTCTTCAGTGCCGTTCAGACTGTGTGACTAAGCACAGAAAAAAATCAAAATTAAAAATTAAAATGTGTTGCAGGGTGGGCTCAGAAAATACTGATGCTTTTAAGGGCTCGACTGGACCTTTAATCTTGCTGAACTGTCTATGATCTCCTGAGACAACTGATGGACAGCCCAAACTAACCACTGAAACAAGGCTCCTATTGAGATGTGTTTGTTTACTCAGGCATCTGCATGGATCATTTGAACAAAAAGCACACCCGTAACTCTTTCCCAGTTGCATTTCATCCTCCCGGTTCTATCGTAGCAATATCAGCAATGCGGGGAATGAACACACCGAAATCCCTGTTCGCTCAAGCGGGAGCAGGTTTGATCCCTAGCAACGTGAAGTCAGTATGTGAATTTTGCAAATCCACGAGAATAAATTGATCTCTCTCAGTCATTTCTCACCAGTTCTCCCCAAACCAAAAGTGTTTTAATTATTCGAGTGTCAAGCAATCAGATGCTGCACCTCAGACACAGCTATTCCAGGAGATAATTAGAAGCAGAGAGGAGCAAACAATATGCCACAGAAACGATCATCGCGGTGTGATCTGAAAGATAACTTTAGTAACACAAGTGTTTCTTTGCTGGGTGACTCACAGAAGGAAGCAGGGGCTGGAGCTGCTGAAAAAGGAGCCTGCTCCATGGGAACATGAGCGAAGGTCAAGGATCATCCGTGTACTGCCGACTTTTTGTTTGACGTTCATAATCTTAAGGAAATGGATGGAAGGAGAGCAAATGTCAGCTCCAGTAATGACTATGTAACTCTGGGACTGTATAGAAAAGTGATAGCCCCAGCTCCCACGCTGCTGGTGGAAAAAATGGGGAGAAGTGAACTGAGAATCCAAGCCTTGCTTTAATGTTTTCTTCGGAGTTTCATTGTGAATTCTGATTTATCAAAGGGACACATAGTTCCCTTTTATATTTCTCTCTCTTGGTCTATATAGTACATAGATATATATATATGTAATTTTAACTTCTGTTTTTTATCTGTGCAACTTCCCAAAGCTGTACAAGAAATACCATCTTGGTGACAGATACTATCCTTTATTCAATTTAAAATAACATAAATATCTGATAGTTTTTATGTTAAGTTCCAGCTGGCATATAACATTTAATGCAAAAAATAAGTGCCTTGTAAAAATATGCATATTATATAAGAATATATCTAATCACCGTGTTAAATTGTTAAATTTTTTACATATCACTCAGACTCACCTTACACATTTTTTTTTTCCAGTGGTTATTTTCACACTATCTTCTTTCAATAACAGATTGTCTAAACCTTCTTCCTTCTGTTTCTAGCCAGAATAGCAGCAAGTTTAATTTTGTATCTGCCCCAAACTGTGGCACAGCTGGCAGCCTGTAAACACCCAGCAGCCTGCTCTCCGTTTGAGGCTGTGCTCCTTCCCTCCAGAAGAGGAGTGCCTGCTCTGGAAATTCAGATGCTAGGTCACATTCTGGCTGAAAATCAGATTATCAAGGGAGAAGAAGGTGCTGTGTCATTATGCTGTCCGCTGTCTGGAATTTGGCAGCAATTACCATTGAATGGAGGTTTGCTGGCTTTGCAAGACATCTTCCAGCTCTGCTATTCATTGATGGAGTGTATCTCTTCCCCAGGCAGTCTGACCCAGTGCTTCGCTCTCCTTAGTGTTGGGAAGGTATCCCAATATCAACCCCAAACAGCTCTTCTTCAAGGAAAGTTTGTGACTGCCTGTCCTGCTTCAGTCTTGCAGGCCACGTCATCTGTTCATCCCCACAGGGTGTTTGCCATTTTGGCCTGGGCTCAGCACAACTGGCTCATGCTCACCGTGATTCACTACAACCCCGGACCCTTCTCTGCAGGGCTGTTACCCAGGCACTGTTCCTCCATCCCATGACTATTCCCTCCTAGGTGAAGGGAAATGTGACTGTGTAAGGATGCACATGGCTGCAGCAGGTGCAAATCTACCTAAATTCATGACAGTCTGATAAAATCCTAAGAGACTGTGCAGGACAGAAGGGATAAGTAGAGAAGATACAGAATGATACAATGAGTCTCTTCCACAAATTCAAAACATCCTGGCAAGTCTCCTAGCACCCAATACAGACTTCATTTATTGTTCTGGATTTTTTTTTTTTCCAGTTTATTGTCTTGCATTTTTAATTTGTCCCCAGCTTGTAAATCCAACCTTTCTCACAACAGTTGTGGACACTGCAAGCCCTCTGAAATTTGAGGTTCAAATTCATCGAGCTGGATTCAAATATTGAAGCCACAATGCTGAGTCTTAAGACTGACACAAAAAATCAGGGAAAATCTGTTAGATGATTAAGGTTAATACCAAACTTAACCTTAATTTTGGCTGAAATATGTTTAAATTAAAAGCTGGGAAAATGCATATTCTTTCTATCAATGAATATAAAACTGCACTCCTACTCCTTGTCAGTGCTTCAGGATAAATGAGCAAAGGCAGTAAGTGTGCTTGTGACTCCAGGGAGGAGATGTTTTGGTAGAGAGGCATCTAATAAGAATAACAGGTTTTCCAGGAATCTGGAAATGCTCAAATGCCTGTGGTTGAGCCAGTCTTGGAAAGGCTAGAAAAGTGGCTGTGTGGCCAGCTGACACTGCGTGCTTTATTTGAATTTCCTGGTTCTTGGTCTTGGTCTACGAACGTACTTTTTCTGTTGTAAATCAAAGATTCTCTACCACACACCACAACCTGTCTCTCTGTAGCTAAACCACACAATCTGCTTGACTCTTGCAAAAGAGATCAGTGGAGGTGCAGGTCTGGATGGAAGTAAATAGATTAAATACATTGTGAGTTGCTGGAGTAGAAGTGGTTTTCCAAAAGACATCTTCCATTGAATTTAATTGATTTTTTAATTAATTACCTGGTATTATTCTTTACTTTAGACAACCCATCTGCTTGTCTTTTTGAGAGTTTTATAAATTTTGCAATAAATATTGGTCTAATACTAAGCACATGACTATTTCCTTTGTACCCCTTCATCTTAGGTAAACTGGACACAATGGATTTGGGGGATTATTTATGGTTTTGCCTAAGATTTAATGTCTCAGACTGAAGAAGCTGAATTCCTAGAGGATGAGCCTATGGAGATGATATACTCTTGTATTTGAGTTGTGTTGGACAATGTGCGGCCAGGTTCCTAGTCATTTGGGTTTGTAAGACAAAAGACTTTGCCCTAATAGGAGACAGAAGCCTAAAATCCTGTGTGAGGATGAAACACATGCCAGTTTTACAGGGGAATGCAGTGAAGCATGGCCATTGATTGGTTTGTATCTGATTGGCAACAGCGTTAAAGGCATCACAGTTTCACTTACTGACCTTACAGAAAAGCTCTGTACGATGTAGTAGATGATAGACTTATTAGTATTTTCATCTGTTTTAGACAGTTTCAAAGATGGTTGCAAAGATGATGTCTTGTTTTCTACTCTATTCTGTAAGTTTTGAGACAAACCTCTATACAACCCTTTCCACATCCTCTATAATCTCTGAATTCTATTAGGCACGTAATGCCTTTTCTCTTTAAATAAACAAAAGTTGTGTCTACTTAAAAGAAAGATATGGACATAAATTTGAATTTTAACCCATGTTCTTGTTCCTAAGAGGTTTTAGGAAGATTTGAAGATAATTTTAAATGCTAAAAAAGAGAGAGAGAGAGAGAGAGAGAGAGAGGATCTTATTATCTGTACCTACTGCTAGATGGCATGGGAAATCCTTAAAAATGTAATGGAACATAACACATAAAACCCACTGAGCCAGTAAGCCACCATCTAATTAAATGAGCAGATTCATAATGACAGGATACCATTAAAAAGCCAGACAGAAACTTCTCAGTACTCTTATTCTGCATTTCTTTCTGTTACTTTAGGTCTTCACTTAGGGAGTAATGGAAGCGAGCTGAATAATGAATACAGTTAATAGTCTCAAGGAGCTTTCCTTCCAAGATTTCTTTCTGCTGAGCTGAACCGAAGGTCAGATAACTTCAGCATAGTAGGAAGCATCAATATTATCCTGTTTAGCCCCTTTTATTGAGTACAATTTAATGGTGACAAGGCATAATAATGGATAAGGGGATGTGGGATTTTTAAAGCTTTATTTTGCTTACAGCGAAGTAACAGAATAATGCATTTCAGTTACCTGAGAAAATGACAATAAATTAATCACTTTGCTGATTTTAGGTGATGCAGTGAATGGCTCATATATGAAGTATAGACGACCATTTTTTCTGTTGTGGACTTATCCAGCTGGTGAACGAAGATGAATCAAACATTTTGATTATTTTTCCATTAGCTGGGGGATCATATCTTATTAATGAATTTGACCAATGTCAATTTCAATATATTTAGATCCTGGTGTGGTGTCCTGCCCTCAGCCTGGCACCTGGTTTCACTCTACTGTATGTGGGTAATGAGTTTGCAGAGCATAACCAGACATAGGAGGTGCATACATATAAATATGTGTTACGTATATATTCATATGTAATATATACAATTTATATATATATATATAAATATAAAATTTATATTATACATATATGTGTAACAGTTGCAACTAATGACTATAACTAGTAGTTAGAACTACAGGACAAAGGCTAAAGAAGATGACTTTATTCCTCCTTCACGTTTTCTTCTGCTCCTTCCTCTGGGAGTGGAGATGTTCTGCTGTGGGTGTGAACAGATGAGGACCACAGCAGGGTTTGTAAACCAGGACACGAGGAGTTGTTCTCACCAAGCTCATGGGAGGAGGCAGTGGGAGAAAGCTTGGTGCTAGCGTTGGAGCTGTTGGCACACTGAGGAATGGATGGGAGGCATTGACTTCTTCATTTGAAACCAGCTTGATTGTTGAATTGACACACTGCACATTTGGGGGCCATAATTTACATGGCTAGATATGATGCTGTCCTTGTACTTCCAGATCTTACTGCAATGCCACAGAGCCATCAAGATGACCAAGAACCACGCAGATGCCATGCAAGCATCATTTCGATGTCAGTGTCTCCACAAAATATTGTCTTCATGATCCATACAAATTTATGAAGCTTTTCACTGCCTTTTTACACATTGACTGAAACAAGTAACATAATACCTTTCTCTCTCAAATTTTCCTGTAGTCTGTACCTGAAGTGCCTTCATATCTACATGCTCATATCCCATCCTTATCATACAGGCACTGCATGATCCTTGGAAATGTTCTCTCAATTACTCACTTTTTTAGCAGATGTTCATATTTACCACTCTGATGACCTTGTTAGCATATTTACCTTTGTGTAAACAGTTTGTACTCTGCTCAGATGACTATTAAATCTATCTTGGCCCATATTTTAGCAAAGACTTAATGTGAGTATGTGTATAATAATCAGGGAGCTGGAAAAATCTACTTAATAAAAAAAATGGGATGAGAAATAGAAAGCATCATAAAGACAATGTGATTAAATAGTAAGCTTTTCTGTGATCTCATATAGACGGCATATTGAAAGTATACAGCAATTGATATTAGGTCACATGTCTAGGGAGCTGCACACAAGAATAGCACAAGCATATATAAGGATGAAATTAGAAAGCCCATGCATAAAATGTCATACAGCCAGCAAGGGACATGAAAGGTAACAAGAAAATAGTCTAAATTTAGATTAGTAGTGAGAGGATTATAAAAGGAGGATTTGGTCTTCTGCTCAGAGGGAAGAAAAGCTATTTATAAATGATATTGAGCAGACTGAAGTATTTTTTTTTCTTTTTGCTTCAGCATTCCCTGGCAGGGTCATTGAGAAAGGGTATGAATCGGGTTAGGAGAAAGAAAATCAGTTGAGAGCATAAATCGGTAAGTTACATTTTTTTCCACCTGAATTCTCTGGAGCTAATAAAATTCCACAGGGAATTTTGAAAATCAGATGAAGCAATCTGAGAGCAATTAGAGGCTTATCACTGAAAACTGACGAGGATGGGTTAGATTAGGAGCCAGCTTATCTTTACAGTGGGGAACAGGGTGAATTTGTTGGTTTGGGGAAAAGATAATTGAACCATTGGTAAACCCCCAGCCAATATCAAAACTAGTAGCAGCTAGCACAGATTTAAAAGGAATGTGTTTTAACAAAGGTCATTTTCATTCATGGCAATATGATAGGCCACATGGAAGGAGGTATGGACTGAAGTTTCAGAGGGGTTTTGGCTTGGAATAAGTTTCTGAACAGCCACCCAGTGGGGGCCGAGCTGTCTGTGGGACCCTGAGCTGGGAACTGCTGCTCAGAACTGTGCTGCCAGTGAGGATGCAGCAGTTGTGGCTCCCACAGCCACCTCCCTGGGCTCTGTGTGACTCAATATTTTTGTTGATGACTTGGAGGATAAACCAAGAACCACAGTTTATTCAACTTCCAAAATAGCAGAAAGCTGGGAACGGTCATTAGTGTGCTGGAGGATGGGGAGAGATATGAGAATGGTCCTAGCTGAACAAATCATCTTGTGATGCCTTATAGCCGGCTGGGTCAGCCTTGTCGTGTTTGGAACTCTCATGGCCAAGTCCTGCTGAGCTTCTACTGGCCTCAACACACAGGCAGGCTCAGCACCTTCCTTCTCTTGCTCCTGCATGGGTGCACCTACTCTGGCTGATTCCTGGTTTTACATCAGGATGAAGATTTTTGCCAGTCTTCTGGTGACACGATCTGTGGCCAAGGCCTGCTCATGCCAGCACGCACTGCAAAGTGTGGCGTTGCCAGACAGAGTCCTGTGCGTGGGGCATGGCCTGGCAGGTGCTGTGCCTCCAGCCCGTTCCCATTGATCTGTGTCTCCAAGGTTATGCTGAAGGCACATCAGCTGGAGCACGCGATGGTGGCCACACCACCAGCTGGGCACTGGGGTTGCAGCATTGAGGTGAGGGAGGTGCCCAGGCACCTCTCCTACCCCAAACCCTGCCCTGGGAGCCCCGTAGCCCAGGAGGGGGCTGTCAGCCCTGTATGTCCCCAGCCAGCAGCTCAAGGGATAAGATCTGGGCTGTGCTCTTCCTGACAAGCTGCCTTCTTTTCTCAGGAATTTCTTAGCAAATTTAAATCAGTCACAAATTCCCAAGCCAGCCTGGAACAAACTTTCTAGATGTGATGCAAACTTTGAAAGATTTCAATCCGTAGTTGCCTTGAACTAATTTTTTTTTTTTTTAGTGTTACGTTTCCAATATTGACCTAAAAAATCAGTCATTTAGACAATCCTGCTCTGTGCAGGGAGGATAAAGCTTATCACAGAACTAAATACAATTTTTCAGAGACTGCTGAAAAGTGGAAAATACCATGCAGATCATATTGTTTGTCATTATCAATTCAGGGCACGCTTCTTAGACCCGTCCCTCTCTTAGGATAAGTGTAGAACATATGCAAATAACAACAGCAATAATGAATACCATCAACAAGCAAATGAAAAATAAACAGCCCAACAAACCAAACCAACGACTTAAACTGAAACATTATTTCACAGTTCATGCTTCTCTTCTGGGGGGAGGATAAGTGAACAAGCAGCTTACAACGTGTAGGCCACCTCGCCTTGCTCTCTGAAGGGTGCAACAGAGCCGTGCAGTGCAAGCAAAAGGGGACAGGGCTGCCCTGGAGCAAGACTTTTAGGGCTGCCCAAGGCTCAGCACAGAAAGCTCAGCTGTGTGGGACCAGCTCCATTTGTGCAGGTCCAGCAGTGGCATGTTTTTTATCTCCCACTATTAGTGGTGCTGCTCCCTGTGGTGGACATCCCTTGGTCAAAAAGCACGACCAGGATTTGGGTGTGTGATGCTGAGTGTTCAGAGGTGAGCTCAAGGGGGGGAGTCCCCATGTCCAGAAGTCATACTCCAGCTGTTCATTGATACTTCAGTTCAGAGTAAAAAGATTTATCCCTTACAAACCACAGTTTTGTGAAAGGTAATGTTAAACTCTTGATTAAAATCCTTGGCTATGCCTAGTCTGTATTAGGGGAAATATGTCATTCAGATGGCCACTAGCAATACCCACCCTTCGTGAAAACATTACACGCAGCTCATATGCTCAGTAGTGCATATTACCAGAGATATGTGCCTCGAGGGCTTCTTGTACATTGTGCTGTGGAAAACAGATTTCCTCTTATGCAAAAATGCTAGCAAGAGGTTTCCTAAAACCTAGGAGTTATATAAATATTTGTAATTTTCCTGTCTTTTCCATCCCAAACCCCCAAAGTAAGAATTTGATACCAAAGGACCAGTGCCTATTTCTGTGGGAGTATAAATGGCCTTCCTAAAAATAAATCTGTGCTAAATATATCCCACAAGCTGAAGGGAACTTGTCAAGATGCATTTGAAAGGGAAGTCTGATACTGAACAACAAAGAAAGCAGCCTACAGTATCTGACCCGTGACTCTGTACTAAATGCTTAATCAAGATGAATTAAAACAGGAATGCACAGCTTGCTGTCAGCTTTTCGTAAGTTGAGAGCAAATATTACTATGTGTTTCTCTGGACTGGGAATTCCAATTTTCTCAGAAACTTGCCTCTGTTCTGGGCATAAAGCTGTTGAAAAACATTTTTTTCTTCTTCTTCTTCCAGTCATCTCAAAATGTAATTACAAGAATGAAAATGCTAACAGATTTCCAACCACTTCAGGACATTTTGCCGTTAGAAACATGTTGACTTTTTAAACAAATGGCTTGCTTTCACTGTAATTAATTTTAAAAGATTCATTTTTATACTGACAGTTTACAAGCAGCTAGTCTGCTCAGGAATCAAGAATCTTGAGTTTGACCTTAATAAATAATACAACGTTTTCTTAATTTGAAGAGTAGCATATGCTCTCCCTTTTCCCCACCGAAGTGGATCAATTTATTTCTTCTTCGGTTGACTGTGTGTGCCGAGGCAGCATATGCCTCTTACATGGTGTGATTACCTTTGTGTGGGCAAGCAGATCACAACTTTAACAGTTAAATATTTTCAGAATTTTACCTGCAAACAGGATAAAAATTATTTTTTTATCCCTTTCTCTTTACACAGTGTGGGGGATGTGGATCACAACCAATGTTTCTTGGAATCCCTTTTGCTCACCTGGCTGCTATCACTGCAAGGACTGAGGTCAGTGGATGCTCCTCTCCCAGCCATACCACCATGCCACCTTTATGCCAGCTAGCACCTTTACTATATGCTACTTTGAGGCAAAACAAGGAGATGGACCCAAATTCATAGCAGAGACCCAGAAGTCAAAATCCAAATGGTGCAATGTATTTTCATTTACCTTTCATGCTATCTTAGCTGGGTGCCACACATCTTCCTTGGCATAACGTTGGCTCCTGTAAGCCAAATCTTGTTTAAATGGCAAACTAAGTACCATAGAAACTAAGAAACTAAGAAACTGCCTGGTCTCAAGGGGTCTCAAGAGGTCTCAAGATGTCCCATGGCAACTTCTTCTCAGGAGCTCAGGACATCCCTAGCAGAAAGCATGGGGTCTGCCCCAGAAACTGGGGATGGTTTGGAGGATTCCCAATGGGACACCATTTCTGCTGTCACCAATGATTTAATTCCAGTTCCCTTATCAGACTGGTTTAAACTGCTTTGAAGACCCCTGGGTCAGGCTTTTTAAGGCTTCTGCTCCCAAGGGACTTGCTTTGCTCCTTAGGATATTGGAGGACTTTTTCAGAGAGGCCTTTGAAGAAGTTTTAAAGCACAGAAACTATAGTACTAGCAGTACACAAAACAGTCCATCCCCTGTTACATGGAGGAGCACAATATCCTGCATCAACATAAATACATTAATTTGTATTAATAAATACACCAATATAAATGAGCTGGCTCCTTACTTTATTTTGCAGGGAAAAGGTTTTGACTCCAAAGGAAGTCATTATTGATCGATGAAAACCAATTGCATTTGTAAACTGTGAGCTCTGCTTTCCTTTCTGCTCTCCAGCCCCATGTAATGAAATTGCTGCCGAGGAAGCGGTTTGCATTGTGCCATGCTGCCTCATGCCGCTGCTGGGAGACAGCTGCTCAAGGTGTGCAGTGGAACAGCTAAAATTGTGCTGAAATTAACTTTACATATATTCTTTGGCTTCAGACCCTCCAGATTTTCTAGCTCTGTCAGTGAGAAAAATATTTGCTTGAAAAATATTGCTAGGGGAGCCTCTGGTTTCGTTGCAAAACAATAATCAGCAACAAAACTGGAATAACTCATTTGCTGAACAAATGCTCTATTTCTTTATGGACAGTGAAATGGCTGGTAAAATGAAAGAAACATCAAAATATACAAATGATCGAGTGAGAAAGAATGAGTGCTTTAATAAAGCAGAGGTCTACTGCATGGAGGAAACATTTATATCATTAAACATTAGTAAGCATGGGCCCTTACTTTGCTTAGTTATTCTTCAGTCAAGGAGAGGATTACAAATTAGTACTTTGGCTGGCTGCCCCAGGACGTTCCCCCAGTACTTGGTAGGGTCTAATTATTCTGTGCCTTTGGGTGTGTGGTAGCATCACCTCTCCAGGAAGGCAGGGCAAGGATGGGCAGCCACTGCTGCTTGCACGTTGACTTCTTGCAGCTGAGCTCTTGCCAGCAGTTAAGGTCTGTAAATGTAAAACCATGAGTTAGTACATTTTTCTATGTACTATATTTTCTGCAGAAGCAGAAATTTCTGCAGAAGCAGAAAATATAGTACATAGAAAAATGTCTTCTATGTTGTTCTACATAGAAAAATGCTGTTCTATATTTTCTGCAGAAGCAACTGCACTGTTGCTTCTCCTTTTCTTGCTGATCTGTAATATAGCATCCTCTGGCTCTTTCTGTTACTTCTCCCCCATAGGGGTCGTGATGCACGGTTACAGGGAAAACACTGTGGTAGATGGGTAGTCAAAGGTGTATTCTGTGGGATGCTCGATGCTTGTGGTACCTGTGGAAATCCAAAGCCAGCTGGCAGGTTTTCAGAGGGAGGTGATGCTGACCTTTCATCTGGCCAGATGTTGTAAAAACTGCAGGAAAAAAAAAAATAATAAAAAAAACTTATTTCTTATCCTATAGTGGTTAAATTCCACACTATATAGAGGGATCTTGAACAGTAATAGCCGTGGTGATGATAATAACAATCAGTATGTTAATCATATGCTAGGGAGTAATTGGAGGCTGGTCCAGAAAAGGACCATAATTTCTTAGCTGTTTCACCTTCAGGTCACACACCAATGTTCTTAATATTAATAACTCCTACTAAAATAAGTAAAGCCTGTGCCTTCAAAAGTCTGGATATAAATCTCCAGTGTGCCTGAAGTAACACCAGGCCCTGGACAGTTGTACCAAATAAAGCAATTTGCAACATAAGAGAACATCCAACAGCACATAAGCTGTGTTTCCAGTATCAGATAAATCTTTTCTCATGCTTATTATGCCCATCAGGCTTGGAAGAAACTTGGCCACGAGGAAAAATAAGCTGATGCTGTTGTTTCTACAAAGTAGGAACAGGAAGGACAGAAACTGAAGGTAAGGGAGCTGGGGAATCAGTTCCAAACCATTTTTTGCAGGTAAATGGGCAGAGGTGATGGCCCTAGTGCTGGGCAGGTTTGGCCACTTCCAAAGCACAGCATTTTGTGTGTTCCTGTGGTTGCCCTGGGGAAAGCCTCATTGCTCCAGACCAGCTGTGTGGTTGTGACCAGGATCCTGACCTCCCCATCTGCCCTTCGTGTGTGGGTTTCCCTGAAGGTGTGCACAAAGCCCTGTCCATCACCCACGCACCGCTCATAGGGCATGTGGCTGAGCTGCAGAGGGGATAGCGGTGGTGGGAGTGACGCCGTGGCCATCACGGGCTCTTGGTTTGGGGGATGGAAGTGTGGCGGATGACGGTGAGGTCTGCAGGACAAAGAGTCACTTTAGCAGCTGGTGCTGGGAGTGCTGCCCAGAGAGGCACAGTTGACTCCTCAGGATGGTGAAAGCAGAATCTCACCCCCGAAATGTCAGTGCTTGCATCCAAGGCGGTGCGGTGCTTCCCTTAAACTAGCAGATTCTAGGTCTGAAGGAAGTATCAGCAAGTGGCATTTTGGATTAAAATGACAAAACTATTTTTGCAAAAGACCTTTTGTAAAGAGTGAGTGCAGCCGGTGGTCTCAGTGGGAGCTAGGAAATATTGACAGGCATGGTTCCAAAAATCAGAATGAAAAGGCATAAACAGCAAAACCCTCCCTGGTGAGCTCTTCTACCCAATTTTTGTACTTTAGCAACAGTTAGGCTCATCTGATTCACAGTCTGGCTTTAAACCCAGTGATGTCTTAGGGGCTGAGTAGATATTACTGGTGGCTGCTCTCACAGGAGATGGCTGGTGCTGTGACATGGCATCTCAGTTACTGAGTTTGCGCATGGATCACCTTGGTCATGGATTCTATGAGCTCTAGAGAGACTTGAAGAGAGGCCATGGATGTTTTTCCTGCGTTTTCTCACTTCCACTGTGCCAGAGCATTCAGATTTCCACCTCGCCACCTGCCCAGTTTAGTAAATTTGTGCTGCTGCAGAGATAGGGGAGGGCTTTGGAGGTAAAATGCAGGATGCTGTGGGTACTCGAGTCCTCTTATTCATCACTCAGATTCTTCATCTCCTTTTTCTCCCTCTGCCCAATGGACAAGGTGCTAAGAAATCTGTTAAATGAAAGGGTTGGTGATTGCAGCAATGGGAAAGATAAGAACATCCCCCCCCTTTTTTTTTCTTACCTTACTGTCTTGAACACTGTCACAACTCAGTGTCATGGATTTAACTGTGTTTTACCTGTTTTATTTGGACATATATATAGGGTTAAGAAGCACTGGAGGAATGAAAGACTGAAGCGCATGCATAATGAGCCTCCAGTGCAACACAAGTCTAGAAAATTTATTCATGCTTTAAATAAAATTTGGAGGTTCAGTCCACCCCTATCTTAGTTCCCAAGATAAACACCATGCAGCACAACCAAACTTTTGCTGGAATCCAATTTTTAATCATCATTGACAAGAAAAGGACCTCCCCAGCTCTAGGATTACATACCACGCACCTCCCTTTCGAGCCTGTCAGCTGGGGAGGCAGCCCCACGGCGATGCTCTGCAGTGTGCTGTAACCATGAGTGTCTCTTCCCCTCTCAGTTTTCATGTTCCCAGTGAGGCACAGCTTCTTCAGTGACAGACTGAAACATGACATTTTCTTGTCCTAATGAGAAATGCCCAGCACAGGACTCCTGGTGCCTGAACCCCAAGCCCCAAAGCCACCTAGGCATGCTGAAGGCTATCTTCCATCATGTGCTTTCCCAAATGGCACTTTTTACTGTCTCTCTCCTCCTAGCTAGGACTTGAACCCAAGGGAAGAGAAACTCATATATTAATAGAGGGGCTGAGCTTCTGACCTGTGCTGCCAGCATGGCTGCAGGGTCCTTCCACAGAAGCTCCATCCCCTTCACCCACACCATGGCACTGCTGTGCAGACGGGGAGCTGGGGGAAAACTTGGTGGCAGATCAGGAACATGAGGGCAGATGAAAGAAGCTCATCTGCAGAGGGAGGAGGAAGTCCTGCGTGTGCTGCACAAATACAAACAGAGGCCAAGAAGCCACAGCATATCTTTCATACCAATGTGCCGTTCAGGAAGCTAAGATTTTAGTTCTCTACTTGGCAACAGTGAAGGATGCAAATGGCTCTTTGGGAAGCTAAAACTTGCAGGCAAATAAGGTGTTTCCCCTTGAATTTCTAGGAACAAGATGAATGTGAGGCCCTGGCACAGGCTGCCCAGAGAAGCTGTGGATGCCTCATCCCTGGAGGTGCTCAAGGTCAGGCTGGATGGGGCTTTGGGCAACCTGGGCTGGAGGGAGGTGTCCCTGCCCATGGCAGGGGGTTGGAATGAGATGGACTTTAAGGTTCCTTCCAACCCAACCCATTCTGTGACTCTGATTCTAATGTCCACGGCATACAGGAATCCTCCAGGTCTCCAGAGCAAGGGAATGCTCAGGGGAAGCAGGTAAGAGCATCAGAGCAGTCCTCAGCCAAATGCAGCAGCTGAAGAAGTTGCAAAAGCATGTTCAGAAATGGCATTGAGCAGTGAGTTCAGGGAGGTTCCCTTTGTGCTCAAGTATTTGGAGAACTTTTCAGAACTACAGAGGAGAATCACCGATAGAACAAGCTCCAAAGAGTTTTGCAGCTCTATCATTTAAGGTCAAGAAGAAACGGGAAACTAACTTTCTCTCTTAAATCTTTAAGATGTCAGTAAATAAATGATGTGGTTTTCAGAGCTGTAAAGCATCTCATATCTTTTGCTGACTTCAGCTGGAGCACTGGGTGCTCAGCACTTCTGGAAATAAAATCATTTGTTTGCCAAGGCTCAGAAGGAAAAGCTGAGAAGGCTGACTTGAAGTTCTTGTTCTTGCAAATATGAATATGAAGCAGGATATAAAAATATGAATTGAATATGAATTGAAGCAGAATATGAAACTTAAATCAGTAGTGTTCCCTCAGGAAGATCATTATTTGGAAGAAAAGAAAAAGTGCACATAAAAACAAATTTGTCAACACCATTGGAAAGGAGGAAGGATGAAACTTACTTGGCATTATTATTTCCTGTCTTAGAGCTGGTCTGTCTCTCCCTTCACTTGGTGATATTTGTAGTAGTTTTGTATTGAACTAATTGCTTCCAGCCCTGGGGGCTGTCATGAAAATGTAGGCAGTGCTAATGGCTTAACTGTTAATTAAGGTGATGGCAGAGCAGTTGAGGAAGGGACAAAAATGTCAAACGGTGGGGATAACCGAGTATGAAAAATGCCACGATCCTGCAGATTGAGCTGGCACGGATGCCAGAGGAGACGGGCAGGAGCCGGCACAAGCCTTCTCTTCTCCCTGTGCGTGAGATGCTGGAAAGCACTGCACAGCTCTTGGTTTCTGTGATGTGTTTCCATCAGGAGTTACAGTTAATGAATATAAAAAAAAATAAATCTCAAGCAAAATGTAGAAATTAAGTGCTGTAATAGAGAAGATGTTTGAAAGTGCTTCACTGGAACTGACATTTTCCAGATGATTTTTTTTCCTCCATAATATTCTAGTGGAAAATAAAATCTTTTGATCATTTAACCTGAAATATTCTTGATTCATTCCCCTCCCACTGCAGTGTCCCAGCAACAGGAAGAAACTGAAATGGGGCAAGAGAGAGCTAAACCTGTAGCATGCCAGGGCCAAAGGGGAGTGAGAGGAGTATGAGATCCCCAAATATGACTTATTCAATATGATAAACCAGAATCAAAACACTGTGTCCTGGTCAGCATAAAAAAAAAATAAATTCAGGAATATTTGAGCATTGATTCTCCACTTGGAGAATCCACTTGGAATGAAAACAGTAGCAATATGAGAGGATTTATTATGATAAAAGGCGGATTATTTTTGTGTCATTTCTTTGAAAGACTAATATTTTCTTCTTATAAGCAGCAATTCACACATTTTAATTCAAGCATCCCCACAGAAATATGTGTATATAGATACTAATTTTAATAAGAGATTTCATAGTACTAATCTTCTACCACAGAGCACCATTCAGAGTCCCTCCATGATCCAGTTTGCCTAGCAAAACATTTCATCCTGCAGAAGTGAGAAAAGCCTAAATGCATCGTTCTGATAAAAAGAAAGACAAGACCCAGAGGCTGGACAAGATGGTGAAGCTATGGTGAAAAAAGCAAAACCAGAACCAAAACCAAACAAAACACCACTAAAAAGCTGCTGAAGAATTACGGGTAATGCAGTTGAGAAGATGTGTGATGAAATTCTGTGGAGTTTGCTCCTTAATGCATTGCAAAGCTTTACAAAGGGATGTCAGTCCTGCGTGGAAAAAACAGGGGAGGTGAAGAGGATCAGTGGAGGGCTCCCTCTCGCTCACCCTACAAGCGAGGAGGAAGGCCCAGCTGCTCCAGGGCACAGCTGAGCGCACTTTTTACAAGATCAGGTCCTTTTCTTTGGTGACACAACATGAAGCCCAGAGTGGCTTTTCTCTCTGCACTCCGTCACGAGACATGACTCAGAATGACAAAAAGGGTGACTCATCGTGTGGACTTTTTCCTCAAACCGAGCCATGCATTGCGCTCATTTTTCTGCCAGCCTGTTTGGCGATGATCTGTGAAGCCCTGATGTGCATCTAAAAGACAAAATGCTCTCAAGCCATGGGCTCCACATTTCTGACCCTGCAGTGCTAGGGGCAGTGATTTACTGTGTGCTGCACAGCGACCGTGTTATTGCTGGGCTTTAAAGACCAAAACAGCAGCCCGTCCTACTGGTTCCTGCTACAGTCAATGGTCAAGGGAAGAGGGATTTAATGGATTTGTGAATTGGATGCAACAACGTTATACATTTAGGGACAGGAGGGATGACTGTGAAGTCAGTTGACCTAATTTTTAGTTGACACAATTCCATTCAGTGCCATCAGTGCACAAAATTATTCTTCCTGCTCTGTAGCTAATCACCATCAGGCCATCCACTGATGGAGGCCAAGCCAAGGAGCACCTCTTGGAGTGAGGTTGCTTGGATGCCAGGATGTTCTGCTTTTCAGCACTTTATGAGGGTTTGAGTTTTGAAACCTTAATTCTTAGCCATGCTTAGAATGGTGACTTCTTACCAACATCCAGGGAGGGTGAGCCTGCACAATGCACCTCTGATTCTGTGCTCTGTAGCGTGGCAGAAGGTGCCTAGCCCAGAATTACATTTTGTGAAACATTGTTGTCAGTTCTAAAATATTATATTTATGTGTATCTGCTTTTTTTTTCTTTCTTTTTTTTTTTTTTTTCCTTTTTTTTTCCTTCTTTCTTTTTTTTTTTTTTTTTTCTTCTGGTCATCTGTCTGGGATTATTCTTCCAGATCAAAAATGTTTCCCTGAAATGTGCCAACATTTTATGCAGGGCTTGAGTCACCAGATCACCTCCTGCTTCTCCCCTTTCCCTCTAGGACCTCGCAGACAGGGCTGTGGCAGCCGTGCCGAGTGCTGGGACAATCCCAGACATCTGCCTTCTGAGCAGGGAATTGAAGATGCTCCACTTTGCATAACCTTTGCCTTAAGGTCAGAATTACTGGATTTTTGAAGCCAGGCACGGCTGTCCTTCTGGGGCACTGCTCACATACAAACCTCTCACATCAGAATATATTTGGTTTTATTTCAGTGAGCATATTGCTTAGCAAAAGTTGCTCAGTAACAACTAAGTTTACCATCCAGCTCTGCTTTTTATTTTCTCTCTCAACGCTATGGGATTTCACATGATGTGTATTTTCATGGGATTAATATCAATGTGATGTGCTCTCTCCCTAATGTATCTCAGCTCATTAAGTACCTTAATTCATTTTGTAAGAACGCCTTTTGCCTTCTACTCAGAAGATATACCCATTTGTGTATCATCATTTGTAGGCTGTTCTCGACCCCAGAGCACAGAAGAATTCTCCTGCTATTTAAAATCCCACTCAGAAGTAATGGCTTTTATACCTACATGCTAATATCACTCTGGTAGATCAACTTCTGATGTGCCCACTGTATTAAGCAAGCTGAATTTTCTGCCTTAACATCAGGCTGTCACTAATTGTTTTTATATGTGTTTGCTATGATTACATCGTCCTCATTTCCAGTATCTGTTTTGAAACACAATATTAGTTCATTTATTTCCTGTGTCACAAACCAATCTCTTGCTGAACATTGCTTTGCAACTTTATTGAGATAATGCTCCTCGTGAGAGCTTTGTCCTGCTGTTATCTTAGTGTCTTATTTTTTTTTTTTTTCCAACGGTAGGAGTGTCACCCTCCAGTAAAGTGAATTGCTTTGATTGCAAAGATAAGAATTCATCCCCTGTGCTGAGTACTTTTGGGTCTTACCATGATCGTTGCCATATTTGCTGCTTCTGGACCTGGCCACGTGTTCACCCTTGGTTCTGTCCTCAGTTTTTGTTAGGTGAATATCAGCGCTTGTGCTGCCTGCTTTCCCTTTTGTTTGGGAGCCACACTGTAACTTCCCTTCTGCAATGATTTTATTCCCTTTCTGACAGTCCTAGTTAGTCCATTGGGTAACACGGCTTGCACCCTGTGTGTCCTTAAACATCAGGCTCAGCCTCATCTGATGGCTTGCTTGCTTTGGCTCTCCACTTGAGGGTGGACTAGTGAATCAGAAGGAGTTCAGGCACCTAAAATATTTAATTCTTAAAATGTCACACGAAGAGTTTCACTGCCTCTTCAGATGCTAAATAACTTTTAACATCTGTCGTCAAATGAAATTATTTTTCTTGTCATTGAAATAGCTTTGAGAATAAAGTTATTGCACACACAACGATTTTCATCTGCAAAGTTTCTCTTCTGAGACTTTTGGAAGCCTTGAAAGCTCTCAGGCATCTCAACCACTCTGTCACCTGCACCTTTGGACTGAGAGGTTCATTGCCCCCTTTTTGAAGGCTGACCTGACTCTGGAGGAGCAGACAGGGGAAGCAACACACCATAAGCTTGTCAGACACCGAACTCAGATCCTTCCCTCCAGCACTATTCATGTCAAATTGCTTGATTTTTAGCACTCGGTCCTGGAGAAATCGCATCCTTCAGGGCCACAAGGGAGCATCATTACCATGAGCAACCCTCTTCACACGCAGCCATGGGGCTCCACCAAATCATTCCTGCACCTGCTCTGTGTCCCTCACTGCACTATAAAATGTCTTCCAGACAGGTAATTCTGATTTAAAGATCTCTGCTGACAGGAGATGTTGCTGTATTTCTAGGTACATGTTTCCAGTGGCTAATTATTTTCAC